TGTTGGGATCCTATGAAGAATGTTTTTCCAAACTTCTTATTCATTTTCACAATTTGTAGAAGCATAATCCCGATACAGTGGCCTATATACAAATAGATTCTGAAGATTGTTTCGAGTGTTGTTTTTATGCCATTGGAAGCACGTTAAATAAAAAAACTTCTTGTTATTTAATATATACTTATTTGTAAAAAATGTAGAGTGTTTATGTGTTCCATTTTAATATAGTGCAGATACAAGCGTTCAAACGTTTTTGTCGTAAGGTTATAATTATGGATGATGCCCATTTGAAGGGGGATTTTAAGGGAACCATATTGCATGCAGTAGCTATGGATGGGAACAATCATATAGTGCCCCTTGCGCATGGAATATGCAAAAAAGAGAGTGTTCTTACTTGGACATGGTTTCTTGAAAAGCTGTATGAATGCATTGGTGATTGTCAAAATTTGACCTTTGTAACTGATTGGGCTGATGCAATTCGGGTTAGCATTGAAAATGTTTTCCCACACGCTCATCATGACATGTGTGCTTTTCATATACTAGGTAACATAGTACACCAGTTTGGGAAAACGGATAAAACAAAAGTCTTGTTTTGGAGGCTTGTGAGAGCTTACAAAAGAAATGTATTTGAAGATTTGTGGTATAGATTTATTTCTACTAGGCCGCAAGTAGCGGCGTACCTAAGTGAAATTTCACGTGCTAAATGGAATAGAGCATATTCCCCATCGAAACGGTACGATTACATGACATCGAACAGTGCAGAGTCCATGAATGCTTTATTTGTAGATGCAAGGAAGATACCTATAATACCCCTTCTTGAGTTCTTCCGCATCTTTCACAGGAATGGTGTAACAAATGTCGCATCGATGGAGGTATGACTTTAATTATGTCGATTAATAAGTTATATATATATATATATATATATATATATATATATATATATATATATATATATATATATATATATATATATATATATATATATATATATATATATATATATCTTCTTTACAAGGAAACATTCAACATTTCTAACGGAGTGGGCTGAAAAAGTATTTAGCAAAAATGAAGAGCGTACGACAGGATGGTCCGTTTCAGGTGTTTCAGATGCAATATATCAAGTGCATGATTTCAAACATGGTGGCATAGTTGATCTGAGGCAAGAGACTTGTACATGCAAATATTAGGAAGGAATTGGTTTACCTTGTGGTTATGTCATAATGGTCTTAAAGCACTTGAAAAAAACTAACTTTGGACATCTGGCTATAGACGCTTACAAAATGGAAACGTACCGAAGTACGTATGAGGAGGCGGTTTACCCCCTTCCAGAACCGTGTGATTGGGAGATTCTTGCTGAGATGATGGTTGTTAAATCCTCGATAATGGATACATGTCAAGCTGGTATACCGAAAAATAGAAATTGTATCCCGTCACATGGTGAGGAACCTATAGTAAGAAGGTGTAGTAGATGTGATAGTACAACACGTAATGCAGCGTCTTGTCTAACATTGGTCCCAATGAAGCAAAAGAAGCCTAGAAAAAGTAGTGCGACGTCAAGTAGTAAGACAAAAGTGAAAGGGACACAAGGGACTCACGAGATGCTAGAGATGCATGGGACGAGCAGGACGCAAAGAGAAGACTATTGTTCAACGTTTGATTTGAATGATTGATGTTGTATTTATAATTAAGTATGTTATGTATTGGAAGACGTTGATTGTGTACTTTGAAATGTGTGGTTACTTTAAAGATTATGGGTAATATTATGATTATATTAGTGCATCATTACTATTAGATTAATAAGTAAAACTCGAAGATAATACATATAACAAACCATAAACACATAATAAACGTTCAACAACGATAATTAACTTAATGGAATTGCAATGGATACTTATCTTTCTCCATTGTTATATAGTCGTCCCTAATTCTTATTTTATCTTCAAAACAGTCCTTTTGCCGCCCAAGATCTGTCAGTTCTACATCCTTCTCAGCAAGCCATTTTTCAGTCATTTTGATAGTCTTCTTAGTCTTTTTTTATCCATTCCTCATGATCTTTGAATTTTTTTTATTAATATGCATCCTTTCCTCAGCCTCTTTGCACTCTGCCGCAATGAGGTCACGACGTTCAGTGAGAGCCCGAGATGACTCTTTAACGTTTGTTTATTGTTTTTCAACTCATTGTAATTGTTGCAAAGTATCATCAGACATATACAGCTCTCTCATGTTTAGTGATGGGGCAAGAAAAGGGTCGATCGGATCACAATAGTAACAATCAAGTTCGTTGCACGAGCAAATATAGAAATTTGAAGATGAAGTCATATTAAAAGTCAAAATTTTCTTTTAATTCTTTACCAAAAATCCAGCGATCATCCATGACAACATATAGACCCTTCAACTCCGTAGAGAGCTGTTTGTCAGTCCGCAGAGCTGTTTGTCAGTCTGCAGAGCTGTTTGTCAATTCGTTTTCATCCACACATTACAATTATTTATTAAAAGGTAAACATTATTAATTAAAAGGTAAAAATTATTTATTAAAAAATAAACAACGCCAACGTACCAAAACTAAGGTTAACATAGAACTGAATACAAACTAATTTTCGTTTTGATCCATACATTACAATTCAAGTAAATTGTCGTGGTGATAAGACGACAACACTTTCAACTGGTATTTCCCAATGCATAAGGATTGGAATAGGATTCACTATCTTAGTTTGAAGACCCTTTCAATACACCGCAGTAGTTAACTTTAAATTTACCATTTGCTGGATTTCTTCAATTTCAAGCCTTTGTAGTGATGCTATAGCGTGATCACAAGGTATACCACATTTTTTCCATTTGACAGTCCACATAACTGATTTGGCAGTCCGCATAACTGACTTTTTAGTCCGCGTAACTGATTTGACAGTCCGTGTAACTGACTTGACAGTCCATGTAACTGACTTGTCTGTCCGCGTAACTGAGTTATCAATCCCTGTAACTAACTTGTCAGTCCGCGTAACTGACTTGGCAGTCCGCGTAACTGACTTGGCAGTCCGCATAACTGACTTGGAAGTCTGCGTAACCTATCTTGTTATATAATAAAGCTTGTATGTATATGAAATTCACGTCTTTTACTCACAAAAGGGATCATTTCACAAAATGGCGTCCAATGTACCAACTTCTTCGAATGCAGCAAATCCAACAAATGGTACATCTCCATGGATGACAACAGAGGTGTTGGTCTTAACATGATGTTGGATTACCGTTTACGAGGGTCTACCAGTAATGGCTCCCCTCATTGCCTTGTTGGTGATGAACGGTCCCGCCTAATAGCTTTGTTCAACCATGAGGTGGGACAAGCACAAGAACGGCTAAAACCCGATATTGTTATAAATGGATGGATTTAAATAATAAAGTCACATGGTTCAATCAATGCTACAATTATGAGAAAATGTGACACTCTTATGTAGACGATGAAGAACTTCTTAAAGACGTGAACGTATATTATCTGTGCGAGTTTGATGGAAATGATTTCAACTATACGGACGTTTGGAATCTCATTAAAATAAACCTTTTTTCATGTAGACGACTCTTTTATTTGTAATGTTTTATGTAATGTTTGTCGGTCGTACTTCTTATTCGTAATGTTTATTTTTCTATTTTTTTTTGTGTAATGTTTTTATGTTATTTGTAATGTTTTTTTTGTTTGAATGTATCGTAATATTTGTTGGTGCATTATGTTTCAAAAAATAAATGATAAATATCATAATAAAAACGCAAATAAAAACTCAACCATATTACATATAAATAAAGCAATACAAGTGAAATACTAAACGCAGTACTACTTAAAAATATGGGAGATTTTTCAAAATATTCCAAGGGGCTTCATATAGAGGTGAGCAAAAACCGCACCGCAACAAAAATTAACCGCATAAACCACAACCGCAATAAAAACCGAGGGTGAGGTTTTCTGGTTTTCAAAAACCGCAAATTTGCGGTGCGGTGCGGTTATTAGTTTTCAAAAACCGCACCGCACCGCATATATTATATACAATTTTTTTAATTAATTATTGATATATTAAATATTGAAAATAAGACAAGTTTCATCTAGGATAAAATACTAAAAGACAAAAGTGTTGGTTTTTTTGTTATGTTTAACTTTGGAAAATGGTGAAATTTTACAATTTTAAGATATTATTGTTAATTACTAGTGATTTGATTTTTTTAAGATATTAATTGTTTGTAATTTAAGTTAATTGTCTTATACCTTATGGTTTTTTTTATTACAAGTAATATGTTTGAACTTTTAAAATCATTGAACTCTAAACTGTGGTTAAAAACTACATAAAATAATCACACCAAATTCATGCGGTTAATAACCGAAACACAAACGGTTTTGAAAATAGATTAACCGCATTTGCGGTTAGTGGTGAGGTTTTGGCTAATAACCACACCGAACCGTACCGCGCTCACCCCTAGCTTCATAGTCGAAACTCTCTCCGTTGCTAATGGAATTGTATTCTTCTTTAGCCGCCTCCAAGATGTCTTCCTCAGTATCATTCACACGTGCCTCTTCAATCTTCTTATACATATCGTTGAATAACACAACTTCTGTTTTCAATTCATACCATTTAGCTGCTATATCAAGCGTGCTACGATGGTTTTCTAAGGTGGTTTCAGCATCAGCGTTGAAGGTATTGGTTAAAAGGAGCCAAAACATTCTATCACCCAAACTACTGTTCTTGTAGACATTAATATATGCACGAGTTAGAAGCAAATACTCCTCAGCGGTCTATCGTTTAGAACCCATTGTAAAAGATACAAAGTAGATGAAGTGATATAGATTAGATGAAATGATACACATTTTTGAGTCATTTTATAGGGAAACGACAGTCCGCGGAAGTGACTTGCCAGTCCATGAAACAAATATAATAACAAAAATAAATAAAATACATATTTGTATTAAACAAAATTACTAAAAACAGGTATTTCATATTAATATATACAAAGTTCCTAAAATCAAGTTATATAGTATCCCAAATAATATTTGTCATCCTATTTTTGTAGAGAAATCCCGCATCTTTACATGGCTTATCAATCTTCACCGGTACCCCCGAAACAATCATTTCCATAAACATGCATACGAATACTCCACAATCCCCTCTATCTTGAATATATTCCCGCTGTGGCGCATCTATCGTATCAACAAACTCCACAGTTGTGTTGTCTTTGTATCCATATGGGAAATCGTTCCAATACTCAATGACATCTAGCTCTGAGATAATACTATCTCCAAAACTTTTGAATTCTCCACTAGTCAAGTACTTTGAGAAGAAATTCATAGATTGTGCTGAATCATAAATGTGTACTTTCCAGGTATTTAGATGTAGCACTACCAAAAACCAATGGACACCAATAATGTTTATGGGGAATAGAACCTGCAAACAAAAAAAAAACAGTCGTAAATTCAGTAATATTATATATATATATATATATATATATATATATATATATATATATATATATATATATATATATATATATATTAAACTTAACTAACCATATCCACATCCTTCCATTTAGGATAGCCTCCAACACCATTTGCTACATTCCTAAAAAAAATGATTTTCCAGGTTGCAAATTTAGTTCTTGAGGGTATATCGTCCACCTTGTGTTCGTCGGCCGTCTTTCCATGAGCAAGTCACTCCATATCGCAATATGTTGTACATTTTAAGATAAAAATGTTACAATTATTTATATAAATTATCGTCTAAAAAAGTAGTTTAAATTTAACGAATGTTACCGAAGAATTAACCACCCAGAGTCAGTAACCGCAAGTAACATCGACCAAAACTCCATATCCAGTGGGAGTATATGCAACCTATGTGTAGTGTTGAGGTTGGAAGAGATCATATTCCATTTTTTTCCAAAAACCCAACGTACTAGCAGTATGAAGACTGTCCAACGGGAGATGATTTGAAACATCATTACTCTCTTCATTCACAATGTCTTCATTTTCTTTTTCAGGACTCTCCATTGCTTTTTTTTTCATTGTTTGGGTGATTTTCTTCAATTTTGGTGTGGATTGCATCCAAAAAATTAACATGTTAAATAATTATCAATAAAGTTATATTTTATAAATACACCAAATTTAAAATATGAGTTTTGTACCACTGTGAACGGCGTCCGCTGATACCATGCAACACCATTCTTTCGTTGCGGCCTAACAATAGGAGTCACTGTTTTTTTTTGTAATGTTCACCCACATCCGGTGATGGCTCAACATGCATAGGTGTACGCCCAACTTCCCCCTCTAAACCATGAGTAGATATATCATCATAGTACAACTGTGTACCATGGTAATATATTTCTTCCTCCTCTTCATTTACCATGTCCTCCTCCTCTCCAAACCCTGTATCTGGTTCATCTTTTTTCTGTAATACACGGTCTACATTAGAAGTTAAGTCAGCCACAATGCCTAGTAGACGCTTCATTAATTCCTTTGTTCTCATCTTCTTCTTCTTTCCCGACCTTGTTGACGTGTCGCTTGACATATAAGTTCTTTCTATTTCATGCTGTTGCGAGGAAGAAGCATTTGTGGCAAATTCAGTCGAAGACGTTTCCGAATTATACTTCTTTCTTCGAGGAGGCGAGGAAACAATAGGTGGACTATGTTGCCGTGGGGGAGACTCTTCATGGGTAAGATTCCAGTTGATGTAGCAAATATAAAACGACAACATGAGCTCCGTCGGGTTTGCCACGACATAAATAGGTTGGTTGTTAGGATGAAAAAAATCAGATTGTTAGTTTAACATGAAAAAACATTGGAATTTGTAATTATATATAATCCTTAATATAAAAATCATACCACAGATACGTTGATTATTCGACGACATTGAACCCAAGATAACGGTGTTTTACTTCTCCACGACCTCATATGTGGCAATTCTGTCGGCGTGCGTATATAATACCGGGTTGCCTCTGGGAACGTCTCGACAATCCATATCTATGGAAAAAAAAGGTAAGTATCATGATATTATAGTATAAAAATAAAAGTACAACGATATTATATAGTACAAACCGAAGTGCAATGTTATTATCGTAAAAAAACAAAAGTATGATAACTATTTAAATGCATTAGAAACTAACCTTAAACGGAAGCATAAAACCGGCAACGGTATACTTGTGTACTTTCTTGGATTCGGGATTGGCCTGCTTGAATATTCTAATTTTTCTATTTTCTAAAACATTCCACGCATCAACCCCGAAGTATAGGTCCAAAAATACGTACCCCATGCAAAGCTGCAATTTTCAATTTATTTATTATAATTATTATTGTATTTATACACAATCTTTAAATGTAATACCTGTTCCAATCATCTATATTATCAACAAGCTTATATACTGCCGCGGGAATGCCCATTTTAATGTCCCGTCTGTGGAGACCTTTCAACATAAAACAAGTTGGATAAGCATTACAACATCTTCATCCTGAAGTGACAAATAAATCGGAGACATAATGTAGTTTTCTAAATCTTTCAGCCGCAAACGTGCATCAGTAATGTCTAGGAACAACCGAGCACACATATTTGAATTTGACCGGCCTCTTTCGTCATAGAGTAAATCCATATAAGGACCAACTCTTAAACCACAAATCAAAATATATTCAGTTTCACCAAAATCCACCTGCATCCCCTGTATCTCAAAAAGAAGTCTCCCCATTTCAAACACTTGTTGAGACCTTACTTCATGCAACATCATCAAATGCGCAAGTAAGGGGTCACCATGGGGGACATACATTCATAAGAATCTTCCAAACGACGAAGCTTCAAATAATAATCGTTGTGATTGTGTTAGGCGCGAAAAATATTCTTTAATGATCGTACCCACCACACCTTTTAAAGTTAAATATGCTTTTTGATTGAGATCATCGTGCTACAAAACATATACATTTAATTTCATATAAAACGTTAGTAATTGAAAATAAAAAAACAAGGTTTCAAAATTATTTTTCTAATTCGGTTTATGAAATAAATAGCAACGCACTTTTTATATAATAAATAGTTGATATAAAAGGGCAGAAAAAGGGGGGGGGGGGGGGGAAAGCAATTTCAGGTCATTCCGCGGAGGCTAGAGGTCATTCCGCGAAGACCCCTCTGCGGAGTGACCTACACCTCCGCGGAGACACATTTTTTGCTTTTTGGTTCATTCCGCGGAGGCAATACATCAATCGCTGGAGGTCCCTCTGCGTAGTGACCTACCCATCCGCGGAATGGATCTTCCCAAATCTGGTTGCCTGTTAATCCTAAAATCTACCAAATCTAAATCTGTACATATTGACGGTTCGTAAGATTTGAATCTTAAATATATACAATACATCATTAATCCAAAGAGGGGAATGTGAGAAATACCCGGGAGTCGTATCCATCGGCAAAAATATTGGGAAATTGCCCTCCATTTGTGTCGGATTTTGCTGGTTCAAATTGATTTCGCCAGAAAATGACGTCGTTTGATGTCGTTGTTGCCGACTTTAAACTCCTTCTCGCCGGAAAATCGGAATGGCGTACCGATGCGGAGAGACGTTCGAAGTGGAAGAGAAATCGGGGGACCAAAGAGGTGGACCATTTTTGTCAAAGAGGGGAGGGATGAAATTACGAAAATACCCCTCTCCACGGAGGATTCTTCGTTCCGCGGAGCTCCGTAGAGGGTCCTCCACAAAATGCGTACCTATAGTGGGAAATGTCTCTTTTCATGACTAAATTTTGAAATACCCCCCCCCCCCCCCCCCCCCAAAAAATGAATATACCCGGTATTTTCCCTACAAAATATGTTTGGTTCCAGGAATGGAAAGTAAATGACTTAGTTATGCTGATAAAATGGGACGAGTGATTTGTTCATATAGTTTGGTATGTAAAAGAAATTAAGAAATGAAATAAAAATACTTTGACAATAAAAAAAAGCGAAAATGTCACTTAGCATAATGAATTTATATGTTTTGTCCGATTTGACCATTTTTTTGTGCAATGGGTCATCTAACTTTTACTGTACATGTCAATTAAGCCATTATAGTTAATTTTTAACCATTCCTTCGTTAACCGGTTATTATAAATTACAAGAATGGCCCTATGGTCTAATTTTTTTTGTAGTTTGCCCTTATGGTTTTAAACTGTCACATTTCAGAAATTCTGGGGACCAAAGTGTAACATTTTCATTGTCTTCCCCATTAAACTGGCTGAAACACGAAGCATACATGTTTTCTAGGGTTTCTTTTCTTCTAATGCGTGTACCTTCATTTAAGTACCAAAATAACCAAATCAATACAATAATTCCAGTTAATATAAACAGAACTAGAAGCTTCTTCATCCATTTCTCTGCACCCCTTGACGATGTCAATGCTTTCTCTTTTTCCTTAAGTTTCCTTTACGATTCTTCCACAAAATCACATAATCATGTGCGATTACACAATAAAGTGAAATTACAGATTAGTCAAACAATCTAAGCTTCGATGCCCAATTGAAAAATAGTTTGTTGGGGCTGGCCAATCTGGGTTGGCAATCGGTGCAGATCTCCAGCAATAAGGGGTTCCCTTTGTGATCGTTGACCGTGTTGACTGCATTGCTTCCCTCTGGTAAAACAAGACTTACGATCATTTGATACTTCATCTCCCAAAGAAATTCGGAAACTACCCTTTTTCCTTTTCCCACCGAATTTCCCTAAGTACCCTTCGAAATACCAGTTTGTTGACTACCTTGAACCATATGCAATTTTTTTTGAGATAAACCCACGTTTTAATGAGTCCGTTTAGTATTTTATGTATGACGAGAGTTGTGGGTTGTGGCGTGTGAGGACTGTTGTGAATGAGTGTGAGGTTGAGTATATATGTAGGTGTAGGCTAGTGGTGGCAACCAGAGCGAATGCAGAGAAGGTGGTGCCGGAGTTTGAAGGGTTGGATAAGTTTGTCGGCCGTGTTATGCATGCTCGTGACTACAAGTCCGACGAGGCTTTTGAAGGTGAAAAAGTTTTGGTGGTCGGATGTGGGAACTCCGGCATGGAAGTTTCTATAGATCTTTGCCACCACAATGCTTTTCCGTCCATGGTTGTCCGAAGTTCAGTGAATTTAATTAAAAACAACATAATTCTTTAAATTTACCAAAAATAATCGTTAAAATCCAAACTGGAAAGGCTCGTTAATTCTTTTCATTCGAATCTAGTCTTACCGAGTGAAACTTCTGGAAAATCAACATTCTATGTGGCATCTTCGTTGATGAAATGGTTGCCAGTAAAGGTGTGTGCTTGAAAGGAGAAAAACTAACCAGTAGGTTTTCTATTTAGATCTATTGGGCGGATGAGGGATGAAGTAATATATACAAAATCAGTCATGAAAATGATGAAATGTGAGAATGTTACGCTATGGTCCCTTGAGTTTCAGAAACTTGGCAGTTTAAAACCGTAGCGGCCAACTACGAAAGAAATTTAAGCCATAGGGGCCATTCTTGTAATTTATAATAACCGGTCAACGGAGGAATAGTTAAAAACTAACGATAATGGCTTAATTGACATGTACAGTAAAAGTTAGATGACCTATTGCACAAAAAAATATAATTGGTCAAGTCAGACAAAACATATAAGTTCGTTGTGCTACAATGGCATTTTCCCTAACAAAAAAACTACTTCTTAAGGCGTCGATGTAATTTATCATTCCAATCATTCTTTTACTGTTCCTGCATTGTTCATTGATACCTATATTTACTTTATTGCTTTATGAAAACTGTTAAATATGTCTTGAGCATTGAAGACATGAAAAACACATTGGATCCTTTTGACTTGGGTGGAGCATTCTAAAGGAGCATGCCAAAGAGTGCCTTTGGTGAATCAGAATGCACTTCAATGCATAGGAGAATGTGATTCTCATGGAGAAAGCACTCCACGAATGTGTTACGGTGTTCCTAAGGGTCTATGAATGTGTTGCTAGTAAATATGCTCAAGAAATTGTGCTCAAGGAGCTGAATGCACTCTTGATAGTGTGGATGTGCTCCTATGGATGCGTTAGGATTGAAAGAGGCTGATGTGTAATTGATAGTCTATAAAATATAATTGAAAATCGATTCCTTTGGACAATGGCACCAAAACTTGATGTACTTAAGATATAGACTTTAAATACAAATCTAGTTTTAAATTTATAATTCCTAACAAACCAAACTGACTATCTACCCCAGGCAGTGTACCTAATCAATGGCAATATAGCTTAGGTTAGTAAGGGTGTCGAATTATATGGGAATCTAAGTGTACTAATTAAAATAAATGAAACAAAACAACTCTAAAATAAGCAAAATACTAAACTTGTCAAACAAATAAATAAAAGTACTTTGGTTTAGAATTCCAATCTCCTCATGATTATGTTTAATTCATTCAAGTGCAATGGAATTTAATAGACATTCACTGATTTCTAAAGTGACTAACTCTATGCAAATATCATTAACCATAGAACAAATTATTGAAATCGTCCCTGTGGTTTGGTCAAATCTGCGTGTTTGGTACCTAACGTTTTTTTTGCACTCGGACCGTCCCTATTGTTTCATTTGGTTGCGTTTGTTGTCCCTAACAAACATGAAAAGACTATATTACCCTTAGCCATTTCTTTTTTGATTTTTTTAATATTAACTTATTAAATAATATTATTGACAATAAAAAATATGGGTCCCTCACCCCTATTATCTCTTCCCCGTTATCAGTCATCACCTTTATTTGCATCACAGTACTCTCTGAATCTCATCCTCTCCATTTCTTCGGGAAACAGTGGAACCAAATATGTTTTGAATCAAAGAAATGGGGAAAGCTAAAGGAACACCCTGATTCAGTGTTATGTGAATCGAAGGCCGATGAGCATATCAGACGATGTTAAAGATCTTGAAGCTCAGTGACGGAGAAGATGCGACTGAGGGGATGGATTGGTCGGATCAGGTGACACAGACCTGAGGAGATCGAAGATCTAAAGAAGTCTATGTGGCGGGACAAAGCCTATTCGGTACTGATCAACTTTTCGTTCCTCCATCTTTCACCGCCTCTCCCTTTCTTCCCCAACGAGAAACCATCGGAAACTTCCTCTGCCCCTTCACAATCCCAACTTCAAACCTAGAATTAACACCCTTAACCTACCACTTACCAGTGTCATCTACTTTCAGGTGAGTTAGAGAGGGGAAAAATAAAGAGATGTCTTACTGGCGAGAGATAGGAGGAACAAGATGGAAATGTTTTCATCGGTGTCGTCCTTAAAAATCCTCCGACCACCACCATCTCCTTCACTAAGTTTTGTTCCCCTTTAACCCCATTTCTTCTGGAAAATCTTCTTTGATTTCTGGGATTTCATCATCGATTTTAGG